ATGGTTCAAGCAAAACTCTTAGCTGTTCAGGAAAAATCTTTAACCTACAAGCATTGTCTGATACTCTCAGTAGCTCAAAACAAGCTTTTAGAAATGTAAAAATATTTCATTCATTAGTGGATTCTTCAAGCCTGTCTGTTTCTCCTCTTGGGACCGGACTTTGCAACCCTAAGACCCTTGCTGATCACGCTGAGCCTAGCAAGTGCTGCCTTCTTCAAATCAGGCCTGTAGTAGTTGTCCACCACCTGAATAGATTACACAATAAATCAATTAGTAATGAGAGATGCAAAAGAACCAGAAGCAATATGATTTGGTGCACAGGAGAAAGAATATATCTCAGAAGCCAAGCGTAACAAATGTATTTCATTGAAGAAAAACCCCACAAAGGAGTCTGACTTCTTACGTGTTAGCTTTCTCATCATTGATAGGAATTGCAAAAATACAAGTAATTTCAAATTCTAAAAATGATTATGCTATAAAATAAGACCAGCTCAGAAGCCAAGCGTAACAAATGTATTTCATTGAAGAAACACCCCACAAAGGAGTCTGACTTCTTACGTGTTAGCTTTCTCATCACAGACAGGTATTGTAAAGAAAAGTAAACTTCTAAATAAGATTAGCTCAGAAGCCAAGCGTAACAAATGTATTTCATWGAAGKAGTACCCCACAAAGGAGTCCTCTTCTTACGTGTTAGCTTTCTCTTCACAGATCATTTTAAAACAAAAATAAGTAGACATAATCAGTAAACTGAAACTAAAATCTAAGAGTAAATTTAGCTCAGAAGCCAAGCGTAACAAATGTATTTCATTGAAGAAGTACCCCACAAAGGAGCCCTCTTCTTACGTGTTAGCTTTCTCATCACAGCTCATAAAACCAATCTAGTATAATATGTAAAGTATAACATCATTAGAACATTTAACGAAAAGATGAGCACTGAACCATTTCCAAACCATAGATATAATCTAAATACCCCAACATCAATAAGCTAACCTAAAGCTGTTCCCCATGTAAAAATCATAGTAAAAGCTATAGCAGATCAAAGCCATATATCTATGAACAGATACCAAATCTGCCACAAAAATAATTAAGCCATATATCTATGAACAGATACCAAATCTGCCACAAAAATAATTAAGCCAAACAGTAATAGATTGTAAAAACGGGGTTATACCTGATTGGCAACAACTTTGCTCATCCTAGAGAACTCCTTCTTGAGGACAGACTTGTTGACAGAGAGCTTAGGCTTGTTTTGCTTCTTGGTCTTGGTGGTTCCTAGTACCACACCTTGGTCCTTGTCAGCTGCCTGAATGGTTACAGTCTTTTTGTTTGCCAAACCTACAACCATATAAAAAAGATCCAAGATTTAAAAATCCCATTGTTTAAAGCTAATACAAATCCACGCACACAATAGCAAGAAAAATCTATAGCCAAAAGAACAAACTCCAGTCACATTCTGAGATGCCAATACTTAACAATGTTTCACTGATTTCAGTTGCAACCTAAGATACTCACCCAATTTAAAAAGTTATCAACTTTCCCAAATACATTTTAGAGTAGTGACTTGTGTTCATAAGCAAGTCTCTATCTCACAGATTAACAATAATCAGCAGAGACTTGAGACATATCTAGAGAAAACAGAAGTTGTAGATTACCAGAGTGCTTGTAGGAGTTGAGGTTGCAGAGGTTGTTCCTCTCCTTGCTGAACTGAACCTTAGCGTTACCTCTGCCGAACTGTTTCACCAAGAAACAGTTGTTCCTCTTCACGATCTCCCAGATCAGAGGTCCCGGAACTGTAGCCATTTCGACCTGCTACAAAACAAAAATAAGAACCGATCGAACAAGAACTAGGGAGGAGGTAAATGAAGAATTGAGTAGAGATG